GAATCGGTGGTAGTTGACTCAGTGGTGGTCGAATCGGTGGTAGTGGACTCAGTTGTGGTAGAATCGGTGGTAGATGATTCAGTGGTAGTGCCGGTGGTTGTTGATTCGGTAGTGGTAGACACTGTAAACAAAGAAGACCAGATATGATTTTTGGTCTGAATCTTGTCGGAACCTGTACTAGTAATAGCAATTAGTTAAAGGGAAAAATATCATCTTAACGTTACAGTTGTTAAACATGTTCGTATTATTAGTTTAGATATTAAAACACTCACCAGTCGTTGTTGCTGTGCATGTTTCACACTGAAAGAATAAAGCAACACAATATTGAAACAAATTCTGTATATCGCTGCGATAATAATCGTAATGTCTCCAATTAAATTGTTAAATGATTGAATAAGAAAGTTTTACGTCAAGTAATGCAAGGTTGTTAAACATCCACTTTTTATGAATGTACATGTATGATTACGACTTTTTTTGAAAACCATCTAACTGAATGTCCATAAACCATACTTCAAATTTCATTTTGCCGACGCGTCTGTGTAAAGTGTTTAAAAAGGAATGGCGTTGGTCTGCAGCAAAAAGTTATATCGTTTATTCTGTATAAATGAGTAAATGAATCAATATTTAAATCTTTCTCACTCCTAGAAATGAGGTTGCTATTTTCCCTGCTTGGTTAAGTATTTCCGATCTAAGAGATCCAGGATAATAAAGGACTATTTCCACAAACATTTCACTCATTTACGGATTTTCTACATTTATCTTATGCTATCGTCTTATTAATAACATTATATTTATCATGATGTTTTATTTATATTGATCATTGCCTTTTTTTATTAAACATTCACTGAAATAAAAAAAAACGTTTAACTTACTGGAGAAGGGAAAAAAGAGACGTACATGTAGCAGATGCACCTGCTGGCACACGTACCAGTCCCACAGCACCCGATAAGTATCGGTAGAGGGAAGACAGTTAAACATGCTGCTATGCAGGCGCTTTCTGTACCGCTGGCAGTCTTGATGGTAGCCAAGTTATAAAGATACACCTCTGAACAAGCTAGTAAGATTAAAAAATAAGAAAAAAAAAACACTTAATAAAATAGCATTATTTGTATTCCATTAAAAACAAATCTGAGCGAAAGAAAAACATCTTAAAACAAACCATTTAGTTATTACAATTTTGCTGAAGAAAAAAATAATAACAATTAAAATACATTTTTCTCGAAAAGTGTCTCATATTGTATTCCATGGCCAAGCGTTCGGTATGACGTCTTGTACTGAATACACTTTCCATAAAATATATCTGGACAAGAGTACTTACATGTAGTGTTACATTAGCTTCAAATGATTAACAAAAATTATTAAACCTTTATATAAAATCCCTCTATTAAGAAATATATGGGATTCGCGTGGTGTTTTGACGTACATCTGATATGGTGAGAGATAAGAGTGAAAGGTTGTGTTATTACCTGTTTGTCCTTGTACAGTGCTTGGTGGAACTGAAAGAAAAAAGTGAATTAACATTAATGTTCTATCGATGATTATGTACAAATTGGGTCATTAGATGTTAAACAATAAAGTAGTAAATACATGTATATCAGTTGAAACCCCACATGATCAGAATCGAGTAAAACATGTAGGTTAGAAAAGAATAGTTTAACGACTGTTTGTTCGATTATATCTAATCTCTCACGTCATTTTTACACTAAGTACAAAAATACAAAAACACTAAACATAGCTAACGTCAATTTGTTGCTTCCTATTCCAAGCACTCACCCAACGTTACAGAAATGTACAAAGTAAAGAGAAGATGCACGAACACTTTCACTGACAAACACATCTTCAGCTGTGCTTCTGCTGTAGACATTACTGACTCTCTCCAGAATGAATACGTTAAAATCCCCGGTCGTTTATATAGCCTGTCACCATACAGAATCTTATTTGCAGTCCACGCCCACTTTGTTGCTTACAAACGAAGCACGCGGTGTAACAAATGATACTATCTTCCCGTTACTTTTTGTGCTGTGTGCTGTCTGTCACTGATAACTGTATAATAAATACTTCTACCCCATGATAAGATAAGATAAAATAGACATTGAATCAATTTCAATTTCAAGGACAGTTAGCTACCACTGGATGTTAAATTCACGTAACTGAAAACGTTGGTTATATATATATATATACCACCACTTTTGTATTCACAGTTTATTGTGTTGCTTCGTATCCCGATTGTTTGATTGTCAAGTTTGAGGGAGATACCACCTGCGCTGGCCTTATTAGCACTTCTGAGTCAGATTATCGAAATCAAGTTTCTGCCCTTGTTTCATGGTGCTCTGAAAACGACCCCGAGCTCAACGTCAAAAAGACGTAAGAAATTATCGTAGTTTTTAGGAAAAATTTAACAGAAATCTGTTATCTTATGCTAAATGGTTCCGAATTTGAAAAAGTTAGACATTTTAAATTTCTTGGCATACATATCTCTGATGATCTAAAATGACATATTATTTCGTTTGACTATTCAAAAACAATCACAATGAAGTCATAAAAAAGGTGAAAAATATATGGGTACATTTACATCGACCTTCCATATTTTATTTATTACTGATCCTCTCTCTATCATTATTTTTAATATTGTGATGGCTAAAGAGATTTGCTCTGCACGTGTAATTCATGCTTATGAGTGACACACCCAAGGACAACACTCGGAAAAGGTGTGCAGTGGCAAAATGGCTGGAATATTCAGTATCAGACGCAAAATGTGATCGGTCGATGTATTGTGAAGTAAGTGTCAGTACATATAGTATCATTTTTATGACGCGTTTAAGGATAGATACTTTAATAGACACTATCTAAAATGCATGGTTATCTTAGTTGTGGACCTGAATTGACAATCATTACTATCAAGTTTGAGAAAAAAAAACAACCTCTTCTTCCTCTAACCCACACTAACAATGGCATATAGCCCACGTCCCACTATGAATATGATATCTTCTCTTTAAAAAAAACATGATGTTGCATTATTTTATGACTATTGCCAGTATTTATACCGTGGCTGGGTAGTTTATCATAAAACGAATTTCTTTTTTTGCATTTAACGAAAATATCTTTTCAGCAATTATTTGTATTTTACAGCATCAAATTGAAATATGCAGCAATATTGGACGTTTTTAAACTTAAAAACCTGCCTCTGTATGATAAGTCTACCAGTAAAATACACGCGGAACAGAAAGGTACAATTTAAAACTGAAAGCGGCGTCAATGTCCGTCATCTTTTGTCAATGTGAGATGAGTATGCTGTGCTTGCCCGTAGAACAGGTACAAACAAATTTAGGAAGGTGGTGACCTGTGGTTAGATCACAATACCACGCTGTTAATTATTCATGCCACGTACTGCTCAAATTCTATGTATATTTTCATGTTCCAAAATTGTGTGTAATAACATACAGTATATCTTCCCAATTTGGCAAAAGAGACACGAGATAATAAAGCATAGCAGACAAACGAATGATACTCGGCGTTTGAAATGATTTTTTTTACAAGTAATAATTTAGAGAATCAAGTCTAAAAGAGGTCTCTTATACACAGCTAGAGATGTTATGTGACTGGGGCGACATATGATTATTCCATAATAAATTATGTCCGACGGAAATACATGTCTTAGCTGCGTATAAATACACGTGTACAGCTGGGAATCTAGGTCCGGGTGGGACAGCACATCCAAGGGGATGCATGTCCATTGGACAGATTTTCCTTGTGAACATGTATTACATTGCACGGGGCATACCCTCACATTTTATGCCTACAAAATTTAATATTCACTTTTGCTCATTAATGAATTCCTCTGCACATATTTATCATTAAAAGATCAAGACATATAGTTTCTTGAAAAATAGGAAACTCCCCCCTCCCACTCCACAATCATATTTATATGTTGATTAATGTACTACAGTGAACAAATTGGGATGGGTGCCGGTTAGCGCCTTTTAACTGTGTTCAAATCTGACCTGAACAGAATCGTTACATTTTGTCTATGGTGGCACTGAAATGGTTGATAAACTCCCAAAACACAATTTTAACTTCTTTGCACAGCTAACACAATTTCCCGCCATCGCTACTCAATGCGGTATAGTATTGCANAGATGATTCAGTGGTAGTGTCGGTGGTTGTTGATTCGGTAGTGGTAGACACTGTAAACAAAGAAGACCAGATATGATTTTTGGTCTGAATCTTGTCGGAACCTGTACAAGTAATAGCAATTAGTTAAAGGGAAAAATATCATCTTAACGTTACAGTTGTTAAACATGTTCGTATTATTAGTTTAGATATTAAAACACTCACCAGTCGTTGTTGCTGTGCATGTTTCACACTGAAAGAATAGAGCAACACAATATTGAAACAAATTCTGTATATCGCCGCGATAATCATCGTAATGTCTCCAATTAAATTGTTAAATGATTGAATAAGAAAGTTTAACGTCAAGTTATGCAAGGTTGTTAAACATCCACTTTTTATGAATGTACATGTATGATTACGAATTTTTTGAAAACCATTTAACTGAATGTCCATAAACCATACTTCAAATTTCATTTTGCCGACGCGTCTGTGTAAAGTGTTTAAAAAGGAATGACGTTGGTCTGCAGCAAAAAGTTATATCGTTTATTCTGTATAAATGAGTAAATGAATCAATATTTAAATCTTTATCACTCCTAGAAATGAGGTTGCTATTTTCCCTGCTTGGTTAAGTATTTCCGATCTAAGAGGTCCAGGATAATAAAGGACTATTTCCACAAACATTTCTTTCATTTACGGATTTTCTACATTTATCTTACGCTACCCTCTTATTACATTATATTTATCATGATGTTTTATTTATATTGATCATTGTCTTTTTTTATTCAACATTCATTGAAATAAACAACGTTTAACTTACCGGGGGAGAACTTAAAGCGTAATAGCAGATGCACCTGCTGGCACACGCACCAGTCCCACAGCACCCGATAAGTATCGGTAGAGGGAAGTTAGTTATACATGCTGCTATGCAGGCGTCTAATGTACCTGTGGCAGTGTAGATGGTAGCCGAGTCATAAAGATACACCTCTGAACAAGCTAGTAAGATTAAAAAATAAGAAAAAAAAACACTTAATAAAATAGCATTATTTGTATTCCATTAAAAACAAATCTGAGCGAAAGAAAAACATCTTAAAACAAACCATTTAGTTATTACAATTTTGCTGAAGAAAAAAATAATAACAATTAAAATACATTTTTCTCGGTATGACGACTTGTACTGAATACACTTTCCTTAAAATATATCTGGACAAGAGTACTTAGTGTTACATTAGCTTCAAATGATTAACAAAAAGTATTAAACTTTTATATAAAATCCCTCTATTAAGAAATATATGGGATTCGCGTGGTGTTTTGACGTATATCTGATATGGTGAGAGAGCGAGAGTGAAAGGTTGTGTTATTACCTGTCTGTCCTTGTACAGTGGTTGGTGGAACTGAAAGAAAAAAGTGAATTAACATTAATGTTCTATCGATGTTTATGTACAAATTGGGTCATTAGATGTTAAAAAATAAAGTAGTAAATACATGTATATCAGTGGAAACCCCACATGATCAGAATCAAGTAAAACATGTTGGTTAGAAAAGAATAGTTTAACGACTGTTTGTTCGATTATATCTAATCTCTCACATCATTTTTACACTTAGTACAAAAATACAAAAACACTAAACATAGCTAACGTCAATTTGTTGCTTCCTATTCCAAGCACTCACCCAACGTTACAGAAATGTACAAAGTAAAGAGAAGATGCACGAACACTTTCACTGACAAACACATCTTCAGCTGTGCTTCTGTTGTAGACATTACTGACTCTCTCCAGAATGAATATGTTAAAATCCCCGGTCGTTTATATAGCCTGTCACCATACAGAATCTTATTTGCTGTCCACGCCCACTTTGTTGCTTACAAACGAAGCACGAGGTGTAACAAATGATACTATCTTCCCGTTACTTATGTGCTGTGTGCTGTCTGTCACTGATAACTGTATAATAAATACTTCTACCCCATGATAAGATAAGATAAAATAGACATTGAATCAATTTCAATTTCAAGGACAGTTAGCTACCACTGGATGTTAAATTCACGTAACTGAAAACGTTGGTTATATATATATCACCACTTTTGTATTCACAGTTTATTGTGTTGCTTCGTATTCCGATTGTTTGATTGTCAAGTTTAAGGAAGATACCACCTGCGCTGGCCTTATTAGCACTTCTGAGTCAGATTATCGAAATCAAGTTTCTGCCCTTGTTTCATGGTGCTCTGAAAACGACCCCGAGCTCAACGTTAAAAAGACGTAAGAAATAATCGTAGTTTTTAGGAAAAATCCAACAGAAATCTGTTATCTTATGCTAAATGGTTCCGAATTTGAAAAAGTTAGACATTTTAAATTTCTTGGCATACATATCTCTGATGATCTAAAATGACATATTATTTCGTTTGACTATTCAAAAACAATCACAATGAAGTCATAAAAAAGGTTAAAAATATATGGGTACATTTACATCGACCTTCCATATTTCATTTATTACTGATCCTCTTTCTATAATTATTTTTAATATTGTGATGGCTAAAGAGATTTGCTCTGCACGTGTAATTCATGCTTATGAGTGACACACCCAAGGACAACACTCGGAAAAGGTGTGCAGTGGCAAAATGGCTGGAATATTCAGTATCAGACGCAAAATGTGATCGGTCGATGTATTGGGAAGTAAGTGTCAGTACATATAGTATCATTTTTATGACGCGTTTAAGGATAGATACTTTAATAGACACTATCTAAAATGCATGGTTATCTTAGTTGTGGACCTGAATTGACAATCATTACTATCAAGTTTGAGAAAAAAAACCAACCTCTTCTTCCTCTAACCCACACTAACAATGGCATATAGCCCACGTCCCACTATGAATATGATATCTTCTCTTTAAAAAAAACATGATGTTGCATTATTTTATGACTATTGCCAGTATTTATACCGTGGCTGGGTAGTTTATCATAAAACGAATTTCTTTTTTTGCATTTAACGAAAATATCTTTTCAGCAATTATTTGTATTTTACAGCATCAAATTGACATATGCAGCAATATTGGACGTTTTTAAACTTAAAAACCTGCCTCTGTATGATAAGTCTACCAGTAAAATACACGCGGAACAGAAAGGTACAATTTAAAACTGAAAGCGGCGTCAATGTCCGTCATCTTTTGTCAATGTGAGATGAGTATGCTGTGCTTGCCCGTAGAACAGGTACAAACAAATTTAGGAAGGTGATGACCTGTGGTTAGATCACAATACCACGCTGTTAATTATTCATGCCACGTGCTGCTCAAATTCTATATATATTGTCATGTTCCAGAACTGTGTGTAAAAACATACAGTATATCTTCCCAATTTGGCAAAAGAGACACGAGATAATAAAGCATAGCAGACAAACGAATGATACTCGGCGTTTGAAATGAATTTTTTTACAAGTAATAATTTAGAGAATCAAGTCTAAAAGAGGTCTCTTATACACAGCTAGAGATGTTATGTGAATGGGGCGACATATGATTATTCCATAATAAATTATGTCCGACGGAAATATATGTCTTAGCTGCGTATAAATACACGTGTACAGCTGGGAATCTAGGTCCGGGTGGGACAGCACATCCAAGGGGATGCATGTCCATTGGACAGATTTTCCTTGTGAACATGTATTACATTGCACGGGGCATACCCTCACATTTTATGCCTACAAAATTTAATATTCACTTTTGCTCATTAATGAATTCCTCTGCACATATTTATCATTAAAAGATCAAGACATATAGTTTCTTGAAAAATAGGAAACTCCCCCCTCCCACTCCACAATCATATTTATATGTTGATTAATGTACTACAGTGAACAAATTGGGATGGGTGCCGGTTAGCGCCCTTTACCTGTGTTCAAATCTGACCTGAACAGAATCGTTACATTTTGTCTATGGTGGCACTGAAATGGTTGATAAACTCCCAAAACACAATTTTAACTTCTTTGCACAGCTAACACAATTTCCCGCCATCGCTACTCAATGCGGTATAGTATTGTATCTCAACATTAGGGGATTCGCCAATGCATGGATATTCTTTAAAAATATATGTAGATTATTCACAGAAAGATTTTTGAAAAAATCAACAGTTTGGAGGAGAAGAAACTTAACCCACGGGCAGATATAAGACGCTATAGGGGTGGCTAAAAGTTGGCCGTTATCCATAAAACTTCTCATTCGAGAATCCTTTGAAATGCTCTAGTATTTTCTTTGTGATTTGTTTCTTGTCATACTTTCATAAAGCTAGTACTTTTGAAGAGATGCATTTCTTTTAACCAAGCAGGTATGCTGTAAAATTGGCAACATGGAGAAAAACTTGCTTTCGTAAAAGCTTTAAAATTCCACACAAAATGTAGGGGAAGTGGCGGATACGACCATAAATGCTTTCATTGCTTAGGGGGAGCCCGCCCAGCCGTCCTTTGCAATCGCCAAGAAGGTAGATCCCCCCACACACACACACACAACCCAAACTATCCCACACGTGTAACAGGGGCCCTCCCGCAAACAACCAAGGTTCTCAAATGGCCAGTAGACCCCAACAAACTCAGTAGGTATTCGTCAGACTTCCCTTCTCTCCAATGGATTGCTGAAAATAAATTCAAAGCCCACCCTATGGTTCACATCCTTGATGACTTCCTGTTCGCAGCCCCTACCCTTCAAAAGTGTCATCAGGTTCTTAAGGACTTTGCCGACTCTGCCGAGACTGATGTGCCGATAGAAAGTGATAAGACTTTTGGTCCTAGTGGGGTCCTATATGTACCCTTTGCGGGTATTTAGCTAGATACTGAATTGGTGGATAAGGTATCCAAGTGAAGGTCTCTCATCGATGAATTCCTTGCCCGTTCTAAAGTTACCTTCACTCAGTTGCAATCTCTCATTGGTCTTCAGACGTCCAATGACCATTATATTATGCACTTAGTTCGGCATTTTGTATTGGCCCGTCTCAAAAATAACATTTTGTTTAAGTCGAATCACATCAATAATTGCAAGAATAACTTGACTGATCCCCTTCAGGTTCAATCATTCAAGCAGTCCGCTTCAGACATGTCCGACACTCCAACTCCCAGTTCACCTGTTACCACAAAGCTTGCTAGTGGACGCAGCACTGGAACCATCTTCAAAAAGGGCTTATGACAAGGCTTTTCACAATTTCTCATCGTTTCAGACAGTCACAATAGGTCTCCTCTCCCCACGCTTTCAAGTCACAATAGCTGACATATTGTTATATATTTCCCACCTGTCTGATAGAAAACTATCCCCTAACACGATTGTGTCAGAAATCTCCAAATTGTGTTATTTCTACATACTGGCTGGTCACCATTCATAATTAAGAAAATGCTAATAGGTTGTCACAATTTGAGCCCATGTCCTGATTCTAGACTCCCCATTGCAGTTGGAGTGCTCCACAAACTAGTTCGGGCAACAGAATTTACTCTCTCCAACTCCTATACAATCTCCCTCTTCAAAGCAATGTACCCCACAGCTTTTCACGGGTTTCGGGCATCGGGCAGTAGAATGAATCATTTCCCAATACAAGCTTAACCGAAAGGGATCTAACAGTAATGGCTTTCAAGACGATCCTTTATGTGGGGTATATCAAATGGAGGGGAGACACACCAGGCCCACTTTTCTGTTATCCAAATGTTACACCCATCCACTGTGATGCATATAACAAGCAGCTGGAGAAGGATATTCGTTTCTGCCATTTAGACTCTACAAAGACCACAGTTTCAGGACAGGGGCAGCATCTCTACAGAACAATTTATCAGACGCTCAAATAAGACGGGTAAGGCGTTGGAACTAAGACTACTTCAAGAAGTACTTTCGTACACCCACATTGTGGTCTACCCAAGCAACTCAACAAACGGATAAGTAGATACATGTAATAGGCCTACGTGCTTCGGCATTATGATGACATTGAAAGTTACTTTTTAGTCAATGGACATTTGTACTTGTACTTGTTTGAAAAACTTTTCATTCATGCTTTACATTGTCTGTCTATTATAGCCAATTTTAAAGGATCCAGCAAGACATGCGGTTCCTCTCATTTTCCCTCTGAAAAGTTTCCTTTAACAATTATTCCCTATCTCTGTGGCTGTCCAACAAGACCCTAACCTCAATCTCTAATTAAGGATGGCAGGATGAAGAGCTCTACCCCGCGCTGTAAGGCCTATAGTCGTAACTAAAAGAGCGCCCCCCCCCCACCTCAAAATGGGAGTTGGGGTTGAGTAGCACTCCACAGGTGATCTGGCATCCACATTTCTCTAAATAGGTATCTTCAAATCTCACTCAAAATTTTTATGGCTCGTCCGGTCGTCCTTTCAATACACAATGGCAGCCTTCATATCNCCCCCCCCCCCCCCACCTCAAAATGGGAGTTGGGGTTGAGTAGCACTCCACAGGTGATCTGGCATCCACATTTCTCTAAATAGGTATCTTCAAATCTCACTCAAAATTTTTATGGCTCGTCCGGTCGTCCTTTCAATACACAATGGCAGCCTTCATATCGTGCTTGATATTTTGCTGAATTTGGATAAACATGTCTGGCTATAATGCACATTCGATTTACGTTTGGTTTGCACAACTTTTGGCTTGCACAGTTTTTGTCTCACACAGTTTTCGGCTTACGCAGTTTTTGCGTGCGGCTGTTATCGGCTAAATTTCGAACATCACGCTTGAATTTTTTCTATTCTTTTAATAGATACGTCTTATTATTTTAGTTTAGATCAAGGAGACACAAAAG